TCCAGGACTTGAATCACTAAGTTGGCCGTGTGGGATCCAGCCATCTTAATGACCACGCCATAGGCTGGCCCAGGATACTTTCTATAGTTATATCTCTAGGACCAACTTTCACTGTTTGAAACAGGAAGCTTACACATAAATCTACTTTTATTAGCTTCTGCTAAAAAACTGGGAGCTTCCACATAAAGTCAAATAAGAATAGGTTTGGTTGCCTCTGGATAGAAGAGCCTATGTCCCACTGAAGGATCCCTCAGAGAGGACTAATAGCAAGTTCCTTCTGTCTAAAACAGACCTAGCAGCCCTCAGGCAGTGGTAAAAAATATATTTACATATATGCATGCATGATGTGTGTGTGTGTGTGTGTATGTGTGCGTGTACACATAGAGTGCTGCAAACAGTGTTGCAAATACAACTCTCTGACCCTTCTCTCATCCCCTACCACCTACTATTTCCTCTTCTCACACCTGACGAGACCCTCATGGCCCAATGCCACCCTCACAACCCATCCTCCTTGGCACATACCTCTGTGCCCTCAGACCAGCTGGCTTATGATTAAAATGGAGCAAGCTAGGAAGTGCCAGAGAGAGTGAGGCCCATTGTATCGAATTTCCTTGGCCTTTTTAGGGATGCACCATGAACCCAGAGAATGCAGTGCCTGAGAACCAACAGGCTGCTCCAAGCCTGGGCTGAACACGTGGCCCTTTGGACGGCTTTCTACAAAAATAGGCGGTTGGCCCAGGCCATCTCTAAGGTCTCTACTGTCAGAGAAACGTTGACCGACTATTCCACTACTTTTTTTGTGTGTTCATTTGGACAGGAAAGCAAATTTCATGAATTTTTTCAAAAAAAAAAATTATTGCAATACCAAAATTATATTAATAAGCATTTTTGGATAGGCGGCTAGGGAGTGCTATGGCTCTCTCTGAGGCAGAACTGTGTCCCCATGAAGGGTCTTCAAAAAAATGTATGAAAAAATGCACCTTATGAAAAAAACACTTAGAATGGATTTCAATTTTCTTTTCACCAAAATACATTTTTTCCTTTATCCCAGTTTTCCCCAAACTTTTTGAAGTGCCCTCATCATGGCAGTCAGAGGATAAAGGTGTGGAGTCACCCTGAGTTGACACATGAACAGAGAGAGGAGAGGGCATTCACCCCCTCCCACATTTCCCAGCAAATCAGCAAACATTACCAAGAAACATTTCTCTGCCAGCTGTCATGTGGGTTCCGTCAGGACTCCAAGATAATCTGCACTAACACCAAGGAGCCTGAGTCTAGCTGAAGATATCCAGAAAATCTCCCAGTTAGCAGCAAAATAAAAAAGGAGGGTTTCCCCCTGCTTTGAAAGCCAACTGGTAAGGAGGGCAGGAAAAGCAGGGGCCAGGATGCTGCATGTCTCGCATTTGCACTCTGGGCGGCCCGGGGCCCACTCATGTGCCGTGGCAGGCCTGACAGAGGGCTTTGCACGCCGGGCCATAACCACTTTCCGCTGCAACTTGGCTGAACTTAAAACTGAACAGGTGACTTGAAGGTGAAGGGAGATGATGGAAAAGGCAGCCTCTTCCTTCTTCCTGTGACCAGCACATTCAGCCCAGCAATCCTCTAAAAAGTATCTGACTTTTCTAATGGAAATTTCGAGTTGATTCTGCCTTTACATTTAAACAACCCCAAATGGTTGGGAATTAAAACATTTAAACTCTCACAATGAGACACAGAAGTGGGCAACCAATGCAGAGCAGGGCAGGGCTCTGTGACAATGTGGGTGTCCTTGGGCTAGCCAAGCTCTCTTCTCCTGTTTGGGGGGAGGGTTTTGTTTTTGTTTTTAATTTTTGCTATAGGGCATGTGTGCTTGCCAGAGAAAGAGACAAAATGGCCAGTAAGAAATCACCCCCAAGAGGGAAGGCCACCTGCAATCCCTTCTCCTCTGTTCTCCTCTCCAGATTTTGGGCATGCGCATACTGGCACCCAGCATGATTTTCAAGGCACTGGGTCCAGGACTCCAAGGGCACCACCAGTCATGCGGGATCAGTGCCTTCCCTCCATGCCACCTGCTGGCCCAGTCCGCCTCTCTTTGATGGTAAAAAGTGTGTGTCTGTGTGTCTGATATTAACTGGCCTAGGTGATGAGGAGAAGCTTATAAAGTGAAAAAGAATATAAAAGCTCTTATCAGGTGTTCACCATCAGCTACTTCCACCTAAGGGATCTTTACAAACGTATTACTGACTGCCGGACCCAGAAACTGCCACCTGGAAACGTCACCCAAAAGTGGACAGACGGTGCCTTTTTCCAGCAGAACAGACACTGCTCAGAAGTCAACAAAGTACTTCCCTCTGCGGCTGTCCCTGGTCAGGCTCCTGCGTGCTCCATCTCCCCAGCTGCTGTGGAATGTGCTGCTTGTAAGAAATGAAGAGCAAGTGAGGAAGGTTTCAGGGTCGGCTCTGAAGACGTTCAGGACTGAGAGGAATCGCTCCTCACAGAGCCTTCGCTGTCACATGTACACGTGTCCCAGGAATCCCTACATCGGATTCATCAGCTCATCCTTCCAAGTTTCTGACACCCATTCTCTCCTACAGCAAAGTTTATAGCTCTCTGGACTCTAGAAGCAGTCCTTCTAGAAGCACGCAGCTTGCTGTGGGTTACCAGCAAACATTTTTTATTATGCAGTCACTGTAACACAGCCCAAGGTCTAAATGAAACGCAGTACACATCGCCAGAACACTTTCAGATGACCTGGAATAATCCCAGTCCTTGATCTCCAGTTGTATCTATTGGAACGCCATGACTTAAACTCCGTGGAAAGATACTCTTCATCACACGTGCACCGACACACACATACAGTCTAGACAAATATTCACATCATAGTTGCATAAAGAACAGTTCAAAATAGAGGGGATACTTCTTATCACTGGCGCAGACCATCACATTGACTGTAACTACACAGAAGTAAACAGCAATGGAGAGACTCCCAGAAAGAACTCACTGAGCAACGTGGAGAAGAAATGATGTGCGAATTACAGATGCAATTTTGAGGTCACATTTACAAAAGGGTTTTGTGTGGGTTTGGGGTTGGTTCTGCATGTGAGCGTAAGGAGAGAAATGGTTCTTTTTCCACTAGGGTATAATGAACCAAGTCAGGCATCAGCACGTCTGCTTCTATCAGGACCTGCTTCTTCTATCAGGACCATGAAGATGGAATCTCTCTGGAAAAGGGGTCCAGAAAAGTTGCAGAAGGGATTGTTTTTTGTTGTCTTCACCCTCAAGTGACTGCTAGCTGGTCCAGATTTTCCTGATGTCAAGTTTATTGCCGTGGAGCTAAATACAATTTACTGACTTAATACCCTATTATTTAGTTACCTCTGTTTGTGTTATGAAGTGTCAAATAAATTAGATTATCTCGACCGCAGGATTTTCCCGAACTCGATGTAGAATCTAATTTATACCACAAAAGAAATTAGTTTTGAAATATCAAAGTACCCTAAGTCCTTTAGTGTGGCACCCCTCCACGCCCACAGACACACAGCCAGTCCCTGATACGTATAAACAAACACAGAAGCCCAAAAGTTCCACTGGGCATTTTGGAGAGGCAAAAACAAAGCTACTCAGTCCACCTTTTGAGCTCCTATTAACCTCACTTCAAATCCATGAAAATCATTCCTGATAAGAAACACTAAAATCTGATTCTAATTATGAAAACCTCACATGCAAGTATGTTCCAATACTGCCTTTCTCCTAAACAGGTTCTAGTTGCAGCGTTCAAACAGGAAAGGTTTCTCTAACTCCTTGCAGGCAAAGAAAACAGGTTATTTGCCCATTGTTTCGCAGCGTCCATTCAAGGGGCACGTATTAAATAGGCCAAGCCAAAAACAAACACACGTCAGCAGCTTCGGCCTCTCACAGAAGCAGAAGGCTTTCCACCTGGGTACTGAGGGAACAGTGAAATGAATAAAATGCACAATCAATGCAGCTATGGGAAAATAATTGGGGGGTATGGAAAGATCATCCTGCCGCCCGATGGTAGCAAACTTTACAACAACTTTTTAGAAGCAACACACGCAGCACCGCGGTCTTCACAGATCCGTGCACACAGACACACACTCCTTGGAAGCTAAGCTCTGTGTTTGCAAACATCCACCATCCTGCGTTTACAATACTGCAAACCATGGCCAGAAAGCCGGGAGATTTCTGCTCCTGGATACCTTCTATGCACTGTCAAATAGGGAAGGTCATTTTGCCTGGCCACTTAGCTCTCTCTCTCTCTCTCTCCCTGCATCTCAGGAGTTTTCCACTTCAGGATTGCTCAACTTTCATATGCATAGGAGTAAAATAACTATTCAGCAACTTCATTCACCTTGGTCAAAAAAAAAAAAAAATTCATTGTGCAATGCCCAGGAAAAGCTGACACCAGGGCTGTCTCTCCGACAGCGCATGCAATTACAATCAGAGAAGGGGGAATACAATCCAGTCTGATCAGACCCAAGAAATCCTCCCCCCCCCAAAAAAAAAGAAAGAAATGACTCCATCCCTGGTGGAGGCTGAACAACTTTTCTTTTTTTTTCAAGGAGACCACCCCTCGGGAACAAAAGTTGCATTTCAGTCACATGTTGGTGTAGGACAGGGAGCAGGTTTTTTTTTTTTTTTTTTTAAGCGCACTAATTACGGGGGTGTTTTACAGTTCTAAAGACAACCCGGGTTCCTCCTGACCAATTGTGACCAGCATTTCATTGTCAAAAAGAAAAGGACAGGAAGGGGGGCCTGGGAGCCGACAGGGGGCATGGCGGGGGGG